ATATAATATTGATATTTAAAAATAATTGCATGTAATATTATATACGCAAAACAAAATATTACTTAGACAAAAATTAAATAAGAAATTGCTAAAAGTTATAAATTACTTTGAAATTAGGAGATTAAATATTGAAGGATACAAAATGTACGTAACGAATAATCCAGCTAGCACTTGGAAATAATAAAGATCTTTATATCGTCCAAGGAGTTTGCCCAGATTTTTAGCTTCTTCAATGTGTAATGGTAACTTCATGTGTTGTCGTTCATCTCTGAAATAGATGTCAGAAATGGATAATATTTCTTTATATAGAACTTGCTTTATCTATCACAATTATTTCTTACTCTGTGAGTTCTGGAAAGCTTGTATAAACATAAAGTAACGCTGATAACGAAGTAATAAAAATCACTGCAACTGTTAAAATTGTTTGTTTTGTTGATGCCTCTTTAGAGGAATCTGGAAATGAATTTAAAATTTCATTAAAATATTAGTTTTTTAATGTAGTTAATTTAAATTTTTAATCTGGTTAACTTGAATGCTAATTAATAATTGAAAGTATTTATAAAAATTATCAATTAATTTTGTCTTATGAAAGTTAGTAAATTTATTCGTATTAAGGAAATTGGTAATATTTGAAATTTTTAAGTAAAGTAAGTAATATAGTAACACGATAGATAATTATGAAAGTATTTAAGTATAGAAGTATTGAAATTTAATGATTAAAATGGCAGTAAATTTAAAAATTAGATTAAATCGTAAGTAAGTTAAGATTATAGCGGAGCTATGTATAAATAAAATCCAGCATAAGAATTTTTCCTTTTGATTAAGAATGTATGAAGTTGGAATTTAAGGTTATGATTCTTTTAATTTTATTCATATATTATGAAATATTGAAATTTATAATAATAATGTATGGCTAAGACTGAAATATATAAATAACTTTCTTAAAATTTAAGTACTTTTGATAGAAAATCATTAACGAGAATAAATAAGATATTGTTAAAAATTGGCGTATGAATTTAAAAGTGATTTTTAATGAAAAATATGAAATCAGAGGTTACTTAAGGAAAATTATTATTTAGTTTACTGATAAAATATTGTATTTAAGGCGTTATCCTACCGATACTTTGTTTTATTCTAGTTTCTGTTTTCATAACTAGATCGTCACTGTTTTCTCAGAAATTAATTACTCGGAAATCCAAGATGGCGCGAAAGTAAGAGACTAGGTATCATTTTATAATAGCAAGCTGAATAATTACAATTTTTTTTTTACAAATTAATTCGTGATATTTGACATTTGTTATTTACTTGTTTATTTATAGCGGAAGTAGGTACTGTATTGTAACTCGAAAAAGAGAAAAAGAAAAAGAGAAAGAAAAAGAAGAAGAAAAAGGAAAAAGAAATTATACTTGGATTAAAATCGTTATTTATAATCATTACGTATCATTATTATTAGTTTCATTATATTGTTTACTTTTGTTATAATTTCTATGAATATTATCCTTGTTACTTTATTTCTTTTTATTAATCATTAATTATTTAAAGAGGTGAAAATCTCTTTAAATTAAATGCATCTGTTTAAAGAAAAGAAAGGAATGAAAAGAAATGGACATTGAACACAAGTTATAGACGTTGAAAGAATTAACAAAGATGAAAAATGAAATCGAGTTAAAATAATTTTAATCCGACTGCGAAAATTACACTTAAAAATAATTATATATATATATTCCATATATTATATATGCATATAGATTTTATGTACATATATAAATGTAATAATTTGTAAATGGCGAGTGTTCCTAATTTACAGATAGAGCGAAGGAAATGTAATTTTAAATCAATTGCTGTTATGTATGTCTTATTAGGTTTTACATGAAAATAATATCTTGGTTAAATAGTGAAATTACAATAAAGTTATGTTAGGAATCGTTAATTTGGTAAGAAGAGAATTGTTATTAGCGAAGGTAGTATAAGGACAAAAATTAGCGAAGTATTATCTTTTGGTGTAAAATTTGTATTTGCAGCAATAGGTAACGATGTTTAAAGCCATCGCTACTTTTTTTTTTTATTTCACCGCGTGGCTCCCTCTGTCTTCTTTCATCTTTTTCCACCTCTAGGTCTCTTTCCATATCTCTTTCCTTTTAGTATCTCTCTCCTTCTCATAAACTACTTCTCTTTTTAAGGGAGGATCGTGGGCGGAAATTAGAATAACCAGTCTAGTCAGTCGTGTTGTGGTCGGCGGTCGGTGCGCGTCTATTCGGTGGCGGCGGAGATTTTTTGAAATACCGCCTTTTCGCTGTCTGTTTTCTAATATGCCAAAAAGAATTTTTGTTAATTTTACCTTTAAAAAGATTTATAACCTGTAAAATTGTAAAATTTTTTTGTAAAACTGTATGATTAATCATTTACGTTTTGGTTCGGATGGAAAGATCAATGATTTTTTGTGTATTCTGGATATTTTTTTGTGGATATCGTCCCCGGTAATCAATCTTGGATACATCAATTCGATTACGTCATGACAGGCCTGCATTTATCGAAGGCAGCGTACGTACAATTACAATATATAGACATATAATATATTTCTTAATGTAAACGTTCTGCCAGCATGTCTTTTTTAATATCATTTTAATATCGTTTTAATATCATTTTAATATCGTTTTAATGTCGTTGCAACTAATAATATTAGTTGCTTTAGTTTGATCATTTTACCGCTATTTTATTTGATTTACCGTACCGTTACTGTCAAAACGCTGTTAGCTTATTTGTAAAATTTGAATAGTAGCTTATTCACTGAACGAAATTATTTAGGTATGTAAATAGTTTGGGCGACGAATAGATTTATACTTACGACTAATATTTACTAATTCATCTATTTAATATGTCTATTCAATTCGTATTCGAATAGGTATGTATCAGCAAATTTGAATTTAATATAGGTCGTGTTGAAAAATTACATTATATTTTCGCATTGTGCTTATTGTATGTGAAATATTTGAACGATAAAAGTGTGTAGACGTTGCAAGAGCGAATTTGAAATGTAGTATTTGAAATAAGATTTAAAATATAGAACGAAATTATTTCAGTTTCGAAAGGGTTCGAAACTTGTACATGTGTATTCGACGATACATGAAACGTACAGAATGTCAATGAGATTAGAATACTAGAGACTAGTAGAATATATGGTAGTAGAATATATGGTAATGGTAGTTGTTACATTACAGGACTAATACGTAATTAATAAAAACTGGTAAGTTCTTTTTATGTATTTATGTTTTTCTTTTATGTTGAATTATAAATTGTATGGTGGTGAATTATAAATGTGTATGAGAAATATTATAAATAAATGTTAGTAAATAGAAGTGTATAAAAATCGGAAATCGGAGTATAATAATCCTCTGTAGTTTTTTCCAATGATAACAGATAGTCGATAGTTGAAAAAAGAAATAGAAGAAAAAGTTAAATATTTAATGGAAGATTAGATAAAAAAATGATAAAAAATGATGAAAAATGATGAAAAATGATGAAAAATGATAAAAAAAAGTTATTCGATGGTAAATAATTGATATATAGTTATAAAATATGTCATGGAGACTCGAAGGAGTGTAATTATTATATTATAGTTATTTTGTCACGAAAATCTTAGTTTATTTTTTCGACTTTTATATGTTTCTGTGAAGGATAAAAGGGGACAAGAAGATATAGAGAACAATGATATATAATTTATAATTTGTAATGGTTTTGCTTCAGCATGATTCTAGTACGCGAACTGCGTATGTTTGCCATACAATGGCGAAGTAGAATTGGTAAAAGAGCGCGGATCAAATTTTAAATAGCCCGGGAGAAACCTTCACTACAGGTAGAACAGGTTACGCTTTCTATTTGCTACGACACAATTTTCTATTTTCCAATTCGATTCCTAATCAGTCGATGAAAATGGATCAACGGATGAATGGATGGATGGATGGATCGATCAATCAATCACAATATATAATTAATTGTAATTACAATAACGCGTAATTGAATTTTTATTCTTAGGAAATTCTCTGAATTTCCAAATCTTACCTTTTCGAAAATATTTGCATATTCGCGAATCCATGGCAATGTACATTGGCAATGTGCATACATATACGTACAAAGGTTATCGTTGGAAAGCGATTGTGGAATAAATTAGCTTTTATGAAAACAGTTAGCGAGAAGCTATTTACACTAATAACAAAGAAGCTTTTACTAATAACAGTAATTGTGTGAGCAATGGTTAGAAACGAGAATGTTGGACATTAAGCGACATTTTCAGCGATATTTATCAATATTTCAGGCGATATTAAGTTATCACACCGATATTAAGAGATATTTAGAGATATTTCGAAAAATGGCAGTAAAATCAGAACCGAATCGCGGTCAATTGATTCATGTTAAAACTATTCTAATACGTGCGCGTACGCATACTCATAAGGATGTATTGTGCTCGTAATACAACTACGGATGTAATTACATCGTAAACGAGCCGGAAGTGGAAACGGTCTGGCCAGTTTTGCCGGTTAAACGACTACTTTACACGCTCGATTATTTCAACGAATTGTCTGAAAGAATCGTTTTTGTTCTCACGTATGATTTATTTGCCCGGAAACGATATTGTTAAATACAAATGGAAATCGATCTTTCGTCTAATACCCTTTCGTATAATACCCTTGCGGAAAGAAATCTTACAGTCGGTATGTTGAAATAATACGTTATGTAAAATATAATATACATTAAAATATAATTACATTAAATATAAATTACATTTTTCTATGCGAATGGGAAGGTTTGAAAGTGATATTTGAAAAATAATATATAGTAATATTATCCCCAGGCCAATGTTAACGTTATCTAATTGTGAAACGTTTGAAACATGTTCTCTTCGAATAATCATTGCATTTATTATTATAATTTATCCGAAACTGCCCAATTACCATTTTCTCCATTCTTCTTAGATTTTTATCTAAGCATGTTCTATGCATTTAGTTATAAGTTTATAAGTTTATAATTGAATTTCGAAAGTTACGAATGCGTAGAATGGTTTCAGGCTGGTTTCTTCAGGCTTCAGGTATAAATTTCTGTAGTCAGTTGGACGTTATGCGATTTATGCGATTAGAATTTTACGAATTTTACGAATTTTACGAATTTTACAGAAACGAAGAGCGTTTTATTTGCAAAGTTAGCGATGGCAAGTTTTGCAGGAAAGCACGAAAGAGACACGTGTTGGTTTCAGGTGATGCCTCGGGAACCCAATTGGGTATATCTGTTGGTGCGTGTATCGGCCGTGCTGCTGTTATTAGTCGGTCTTCGCAAGGCTGACTGCTCGACATCCGCTCCCCGATATCCGGTCTGTAAACCGGGTTTCGAATTTTGGTCGGTCGAGCGTACCACCTGTTGGCCTTGCACCAGATGTGCTCCTGATTTCACTTTGAGCCCCTGCGCCATTTACAAGGATGCTATTTGCGGACCACTCTCCGCTCTCGAGCTCGATTGGTCTTTTCTTTCGAGCAGGAAAAGACCGGAAACCGGGCAAAGAAGCCTCGAAGCGGTTACTTCGAAGATGTTATGGAGATTTCCAGAGTTGAGAGAGGATGAAGAACACGTTGAACGGAAATCGAACGACTTTATCGACGATTCGGAGCGGCGAGATATTCAATCGAGAACGAAGGACCAGGTGCGGGTTCTATGCTTTTTAAGCATCCTTCCGATAAGGAAATTTATCCTGTTTCTAAGATCTCTGTGTGGACCTTGAAATTCTAGGGATCGAACGGGCCTCGTACGAGAAGCGTAGCTACTTGGAGGGAAAGAATCCACTGGGATTGGCAAACGATCGCGCTGATTCTTGCCGTTTGTGCCTGCATATTATTTTTTCTGGTCGCAGGATGCTCGGCTTTGGTCTACGCGAGGCAGTGGCGTCGGATGAAGAAAAACTTCGAGCCCGGTAGGAAGTAAACCTTACTTTAGTCGTTTAATATTTCTTATTAACATTTCTTATTAACATTTCTTATTAACCGTTGCGTACGCTTGGTTAGAGTTTATCATTTATTTTTCCAAATTTACTTAAATACCTACCGATTTATAATTTCCTCGTAATAATTTCGAAAGGATAATAATGGCGAAAGGACGGCGATGTAGGCCGACGAGGAGGAGATATGGGGCCGTTCTGATATTCTGTTACATTCGATTCCGAAGGATCGTTACGCGTTTCCTTGGAGGGGGATAAAAAGTCCTTTAAAATGCAAGGCAGATTTTCTTCATTAGAGGGCCGCTCACGACCTCTGCTCACCTTGGCTTGATCTATCACGCCCGGATATGACGTCCCAGTGTTCGATGCCTCTCGTTTCTTTCGTGATCGCCTCCCGTTCCGCGTTCTTTTTATACTCATTTCTCATTTATCAACTTACTTATGTCATCCGTCCATTCCGACGTGTATATATCGTTTGAAATCCTATTTCATCGGCTATGTTAACGTGAAATGTAAAACTTTTTATCGCGGCTTCTAATCGCCGTGCCGCGCCGTGCCGCGCCGTGCCGCGCCGCGAGCGCATCGTATCATCTGAAACAGTTGCATTTCGTTTTCAATTAATAAACGAAAACGTTTTTCAGTTATTTCCAATTATCTATATCATTTACAATCGTTATTAATCGTTATTAATCATTATTTCTCATATAATGATATAATGATTCATTTTTCGGTTATTCGGCATATCTCGTCAATGGTATATCTCCTTCGAAGACTAAAATAAATCTCTTTGCTCCGATTTTCCATCCGATCCGAGGATATTTATTTATCGTTTACACGTGAAATAAAACTAATACCTTTTTATTCCATTTATTCCATTTATTCCATTTATTTCACTCATTTATTTCATTCATTTTCATTTTCTTTTCCCTTCAGTCGTACATTATTTACACGAATGCAAAAATTTTTGTTTAACCACGCGATATGTCTAAATAAATTTCAAAAATCAAGCTATCGAATACGTTCATTTTCTACAGTTCCGTTCTACAGTTACTCGTGCGAATTTCGTTACATCATTGTATTTAGTGTCACGGATAGAAACAAATATTCGTAATTTTTGTAATTAATATTTCCACAGTGCTATCTATAGAATAGAAGATATATTTATTATCCGCACAGAGATACATATACGTGTACTAATTAGTCGAAACTAGTGAAATGAAATGACAGATTTTTTATTCGTTCGATCAACTTGCACCCGATTGTTCGTGTGATTGAGCCGTTCAAAGACGGGGAAAGGTAATGCAGGGGAAGGTCGTTTAAATTTTTCGTTATCTTTAAATAACACTGTGTACGAAATCACGCGATTCGACTTAAATTCGTTTTAAATTCTTCACGGCTCTGTAATATACTAGTACTGTAAGGTATAAACGGTCAATGTTTGCAAATTGCCGTTACCATGTTCACGAACGTGTATTTGAACGCGTGTTCAAGATCGATCGTTCCTCGAGAATACGTGGATCTCGCGACCAATACGCACCACATAGATAGAAGGAAGGTAGAAAAGAGATGGAAGAGCGAGAGAGAGAGAGAGAGAGCGGGATTCGAACGGTGTTACGATCTACGTTTGTACGATGCTACTATCTACATTTGCATAACGAGCGTTACGCAGAACTCATCAACGCCGGAACTCTCTCTTTTCCCCTCGACTCTTCCCGACTTAGATACCAACTTTTCCCCTTTTCCTCTTCCCCATCTTGCTACCACCCACGTTTCCCGGGGAAGCGTATTATTCAGCGATGGAATCGATCCGTTCGATTTCCTCGTTTTTTACGTCTGTATTCATCTACACTTGCATTACTCTCTTTTCACCCGGCACGTTTTATCGCTTAAACATTACGTGTACATTACGCGTACATTACGCGTACATTACACGTACATTACGCGTACATTACGCGTACATTACGCGTACAACAACAATTGCGTTCGTGTTATATCGATTTTACGCTTTCTCACCGCAAGTGAGAATCTCTGAGAGAAGAGATTTGGAAATTTCGAAATAAAGCGTGTCGCGGTGGACAGGGTTAATAACGAAAAGGAATTTACGATGAAATTTCATTTCACGTTAGAATTAGAATATACAAGAATATATGAAAAAAAACTGGTTCATTTATCTCTAATGAAGAATGTTCGTTAGAGAGATATATCGATACGCATATACGTGTATACGTAAAAATATATTTACCGTTGTTAATGATGCTTCGACTAATCTATCCTATCGTCGTATATTTTTTCCCTCTCATTCTCGCAAAGATTAACGATATTATTATATAAATTAACGGTAAATAAAGTCCAAGTGTTAAAACGGCGATTAAATTTCCTTTTTCAAGCTTCTACGCGCAAAGCGGATCAGACAAAGCGTTTCTATAGCGTTGGTAAAATCTAGTAGTTGTTTGTAACTTTAATCAACGAAAATAAAGCGATGTCAACGAAAGCGTAACCAAAGAGGTATACTTATGCCAAGTTTTCATATCTTGGATAAATCTTGCTCACTTACTCCTCTCAATTGGAATCAGAAAGTATTTTCTTATTTTCTCGGCATTAGTACCGTTTCATTGCTGGCTCTGCTTACTAAAGGGGACCGAGGATAGCCTGTTTCTCCTGTTAGATTCCATTACCTGGTCCCTCTACCAATATTCTTCAATCATAACGAATTAACGATAATTCTTCACTGGGAATCTTCGCAAAGTGATTTGCATTATTCTATACGTATATGTATTTGCAATTATAGTAATTCTTTTCAGATATTACTCTTAATCCTTTTTTCATTTTCGTAGAGACTTTCTGAAAAGAGAAAAGGAATCACTCTGCGAAAGAGAAAAAGAAAAAGAAAAAGAAAACATATGGAAAAGGTATCATATCGAAATTGCCTTTGCTAGCGAAAAAGGAGAAGAAAAGAAAAAAATGAGAAAGAAAGGAAATTCTCGAAATTCTCGATTCTTCGCCGTTAAAAATCCATTCGTTTTTCCTCTTTTTCCTATTTCATCCCCCTTTTCTCATCGAGAGATCAACATTTAATCGATATTATAAGCAAGTTTCTACCAACGAGATTTCAAAAGATACAATTTAAGAAAATATTTATTAGACAAGTCACCGCTGATAAAGCGTTTATTTTTCTAGCTGAATAGTTCTTCGACCTGGCTAGCTAAGGTTTTCTTTAAGAGGGGAGAAAAACATGACTTTAGACCGGAGCGAGGCTATCGTTAGATTCATCCCATGGGGTCTTGAGAAAGCAGAACCGCATTCCATAGTCGTTCAACTCGCATTCCATCCATGGGTAGACGATACACGATCGTTTCAACTTCTTCTACTAAATTTTCGTATTCCAAATAAATTATTCAATTTCGTAAACGTTGAATCTTTCAACGCTTCTAGATCTCGTATTGAGCTAAAATTACTCAAAATTATTTAATTGGCACATCCTGCCAACCTGCATTTAGTAAAAAATTAAATTTTAATTAACATTAACGCATCAACGTTTACTTGCATTTTCTTATAGCGTAATTGTACATTTTATATATTATTTACATATTATTGTTTCTTTAAAATAATTTTGATTGTCAGTGGTAAAGAGAAATGTCAAATTTATATTATACTAATTTATCTCGTAATATACGTGTAATTTACGCGCGAATGTGTAATTTATCAAAATTTATCAATTTATTTTATCGATGTAGAATTCAAATTCGCTTATCATGCAGTTTATGACAATTGAATTACCATCGTGTCCGCAGAATGACCATTCATTCCTGAACCGTAAATGCGTTTTGGTAAACCGATTATTTTCGAAAATGAATTGACAAGACACCGTATAGCATCCATTGAATATCGACACATCCGACAGTTTTTCTAGTAATATACTCCTCCTTCGAGTAAACCAAGGTTTAGTTAGCTTCGGTTTAGTTTCCAGTACTATATCGATAAGAGATATTTTACCTCGTTTTATCCATCTACCGTGTCACTTTGTCGCTCTTCTGTCCTTTTCATTTCTTCTCTTACTATTTTTCTTACTTTTCTTTACGTCTTTCTATGCACATGTTCTGCAATAGTGATAATCATGTTAGAATAAAGCAAGTTAAAGAAATTTACGTGAAATTTTGTACGAAATAAAGTGTATGGGATATTTCCAGTAGGCCTAGAAGAGATTTCGGCTCGATTAAATTTAATGGTCAAGGCGGAATTAGCCGAGCTAGTCGCTGGTACACCCATAAACCCTGCTGATCCCGAAACAAGATGCCAATATCTTGAGAAACTTTTGGGTAAGTCAATCTTTTTAACCGGCACATTTACTTGTATTTTTACTTGCAAAAATATCCTTCACACACGTTCATGAAATATTTCGTTAAATTAACGAATTCAACAAAACGTTCTTTCCTCGAAAGATGAGGAAGAAACGGAAAATCCATTTTACTATACTTTTACTATATTTTTACTACAAAGAGGAGATCAATTTTCCAATTTATGTCATAGACATCGGTGATGTCATAAAGATCGATTAGTGTTCTTTTTTACGAAATTAAGATAAAAATCTTGCTTTAGCTCTCGTTCCTTTCTCAATTTCCCTGTGAATTTGGGAAATTTTGAAATGTATAAACAAAAGTGAAAGAAAAGGACATTTCTTTTTCGTAATCACACGAATATTTATACGATAATAACCGAAAATGAAATATTTATCTATATTTTAATATCGATATATAATTATAACTTAAAATCCTTTAAAATCATTTCAAATTTCAAATTTCCAACGGTAAAGTTAAATTTAGTATCAAAAGTTAAATTTTGACCAAAAAATTCTCGATATTTCAACATATTTGCTTTAACGTCCAACACTTGGATGACACTTCGATTTACGGGTATATAACGGTAAAGTAGTAGGCATATAAAACGGGACCAGATTGGCTATTGTATGTTCAAATATACATCATTCTTTTTTTTTACTTTACATCCATTATATAGAAATGCAAGTATTTCTAGGAGTAATATACAATAGGAAAGATTATAAGAAAGGGATATAGAATATATGTGTAAATATATTAGATAGGAATATTGTGAATTTCTTTATTTTGCAGACCGAAAGAGAGAGACACCTGTGATGATCGATTGGCCAGAAGTCAGCGGAAACGTTTACATAGAAGACGGAGAGCCTTCGAAAGGGGAGAAATTGCAAATCGCTAGAATTCATCGAAATATCGAAACGATATTAAATCAAAAAAGAAATTTCAGCGATTCATAGGAACGCAAGTGAAGGAACATGGGTAAAGGAAACTACTTTTGAAGAAGTTTCAACTAAAATTTAAATCGACGACAATATTTATATTCGTATTTACGACTCGTTCTCCAACGCGGGTAAGAGAAAAACGCCGGAACGTACAAAATCATATTCGCTGATCGTGAACAAGCAATTTCTATTAATTTTTAATAATTTAATAACTATATCTTTTTATATAATTTTCTTTTCCTCTTTTCCTCCTTTATTCTCTTTTATTTTCTTTTTCTGCTTTTCCTTTGTTTTCTATTATTATTTTTTTTTTTTTTTTTTTTTTTTTTTTTTTTTTCCAGGTAGAGATAGATCTGTAAGGAGGAGGAAGAAATCCTCGCTCCAAGTCTTGAAGCTCGAACATGATCGAGCGACGATCGACTTGGCCTGTTCGATTATTTATTTTTTCTTATAAGCTTTAAAAGCTGCCATCTTTGTAATATAACTGTGCGATGTATGTATACCGAAAGAGGAAATAAAATGATGTAAATCGTGGAACGGAAATTCTATGTGATTCCTCTTCTTGTACGTAAAATGAAAACTCCAAATAGTTGTTTAAGTCGCTAATTTTAATCATCTTAAAATTACAGATACGTTTTATATTAAAATAATTAACGTTATGACACGCAACCTGTACAGATCGCATTTTGAATCTTCCAGAAAAATATTCCCTAGAAATAGACAGTTTTTTCTTTTTCACTCACGCCTACTTGCATTCGTCCTATTTTCTTTTCTCTTCTCTTCTTTTCTTTTCTTTTCTTTTCTTTTCTTTTCTTTTCTCTTCTCTTCTCTTCTCTTCTCTTCTCTTCTCTTCTCTTCTCTTCTCTTCTCTTCTCTTCTCGTCTTTATTAATATTCAAATTAATATTTAGATTTCTTAACCTTTGAACTAACGAAAATACTCTTTTTATTTCCTTGCCCTTTTCGCTTTTGCTTTTCATTTACAACTACGATATCTGATCCGGTCTATGTCGAAAAGTATCAGTGTGCTGTATATGGCGTACGAGAGTTTACCGAATTAATTTTTGTTATATTCATTAATGCGGCAAAAATAGCGTGATGATTAAGAGAAGAAAAATCAAGACGGATTTTCGATACGTGAAATTGCGCGACACGTCTATATTGTGCAAAACGAATAATTGGCAATCGTTGGATGATATTGTGCGCGCGCGTGCATGTATGCATGTATGCATGTATGCATGTATGCGAGTTTGTGTACCCGCGTGCATGTGTAATGTATGTATAGAACACATACGTATGTACGTATGTACATACATACGTAGATATTACAAAATTTACGCACTTTCGTTTATGATACTTGAAAAATATTGGCGTTTAGATTAAAAGATTTACAATTTTTCCGATTATTTATTTCGTATGTTTTATCGAAAGTAAAAATGTTGAAAACACTGCGTTTTGATAGCGACATGATTTGCAGGATCATCCATAGTGAAATGTAACACAGTAATATTACGTTTTAGCTACGGTAATGATAATTAGAAGTATTAATCGAAGACTACCCTAGTTTGTGATATATGTTTCTAAAATTTCAATTCTCTCCTTTCGAATCACCTTTGCTTTTTACAAATTCTCTTGTCAATTTTAATGGAAGTACCATCAAAATATCAATACCAACAACAATTATACGATGTCGATGATTCGTTTACTTTCGGAAGATGGTGTGGCTTTCAATTGCATTTCGATTTAGATGAGTTCGTAATTATTTGATTTTCAAATGACATGTAAAAAAAAAACAGTTGTCAACTTTTCTAATGAATCTGTCCATTGATGCTATATTAGAAATCTTTTCAGTGACGATATGTTTACATCGCACACCATCCATTCGAATTGGTAAAATATCGAATAGGAACGTATTTCCTAAAATATGTATCGTTATAGTTCAAGATTAAATCGATATACGTATCTTGAAAATATTTCCTCGTCGATAAACATTGGCAGCTTTCGATTCAGTACCTTCGATACCTGCTCCCTTCGATCGATAATGGAGATTTCGACTTAAAATCTGGCTCGAACGTTGACTCGTAGCTGTATTCGAAATCTAGTTTCGAAACCTGGTTCAAGTTCAAATAGAACTCGCTTTCTTTTTACCGAAATTCTTGGAAATTCTTGTAAATTCTTGTAAATTCTTGTAAATTCTTATCAATTGGATTATCAATTGGTCCTTCTTTTATCTTTCGTCGCACGGTAGATGGCGAGAAGATGCTGGCAATTTGTTTCAGAGAAAATAGAATACCCAGTAGATGGCGTTGAACAGCATGAAACTAACCGGAAATATGATTCTGGAATACTTGTCTATAATATTCACATCTTTGATCTTGGGCATCGATACGCGTAGAACAGATGCTCCTCTTCGTATTGCATGTAGTACCTGCAAGCATTATATATTTTCTTTATCTCATTTTACTTGCTACTTATTTTAACGAAATTTCATTTACTTTCTTTACTTAGATTTAGTTTCTGTTTAACCTAATACTTATACAAATAACTAATTAGCTGATTTCTTTGATCAACCATTAAATTCTCACGAGGTATTCTCACGAGACTCTTTCTTCTCCTTCTCACGAGTCATTTTCCACTCGTTGTCTTTTACCCAATTATTTATCCGTATATAATCCGTTTAGGCCGATTTCATCGTACGAATTTCTATCAATTAATCCTTTAATCATCAACATCTCTATCGTAGGACGAACAATTTTTCTACTATTATCCTTCCATTCCAAATTATAGGGGGAAGATGGCACGAGATCTCCAATATGCAAATTTACATTTTATCGAATATTACTGCTTTATTAGTTAAAGAAAAAAAGAAAAGAAAAGAAAAGAAAAGAAAAGAAAAGAAAAGAAAATTCTCATATGCATTTTTTAATCTTTCTGTGCTTCGAGATCGACGATCAATATTCCTGCGCGACACTCTATCCTGTATACAAATTTCTACATCAATTGTACGCGAGGATGAAGAATTATCGACTTAAAGTATGTAAGGACTTTTTCTTTGTGTAAACGAAAAAGGGAAAGGTATAATTGACAGTTAGCTTCGAAATGAAAAAGATTACGAACCCCTTTTGTCCTCTTAATAACTGTTATATAGTATTTGGGCTAACGACTAAAATAGTTTATGGCCTATCGTTTGGAAGGCCAGAAATCGAGGAATTTAACGAGAAGAGTTTCGATTATCCCAAAGCAGCCAGTCGGATTTAACTTTAACTTACACGAGGGTTATAAAATGCGTTTCTTTCGTAAATTTTATTCCGTGTATTTTTAATTACCAATAATTCCGGTTGAAACGAAAATTTCGTATGAACAATTTATGTTCTACACACACGATGTAATCATATTTTTCATATCATATTATTAGCTGTATTTTCTGAATGAAAGAATACAGATTTCTTTTTTATTTCTAGCATTGAAGTCTCGAAAGAGATTTGTTTACATACTAAGAAAAGTATAATAGAACAGGTAATAAGGTTACAATAACATTGTAAGATCTTGTCTCACAAAAAAGACAAACTGAATATAAATGCAGATGCATCGAGCCAAATAAAAATAATTAATTCGATATAAACGATAGAAAGAGGAGGTTGTAAATCGTGCTTGTGAAATCGTTTAAACGAAATAGTAATGACCTGTTTGATTAGCAAAGAGAGGAGAAGGCCACACGACATGATCAATGTCCGGTTTAGCATCCAACACTTGGAATCATTAACAATGACGAAATAGAATTTGGAAAGAATCAGGTGACTCGTGACTAGCAATAAGGTGAATTTAGTCATTATCCGAAAGAGAAACGAAATAGTGTCCTTATTCCGGTTATAACGTAGCGGCTATTAATTATTAACCAGAATTGACCAGAATTAACGAGAATTAACGAGAATTAACGAGAATTAACGAGAATTAACGAGAATTAACCAGAATGAGACTCGAGGACTATAATGCAACACTCTGAGCAGTAAAAATCGACTCCTGACTATTAAGAGAGCTTTTCATGCAAATTTCAAGTTCGAGACATACGCTCGCGCTTTAACGACTCAAGTCATTCGTCATTTTGCTACCGTCCGTGAACATAGAACAGGCATGATCTTTATTAATGACCGAATGAAATTATCTCACTACTATCTCATAGTTATAAAGGTTATATTTAGCGATAGACGAAAGATGAGACGAAAATTCCGATTCATTGCAGAGACGTAATTGAAAAAGTTCCTTCCTTCTCCGTATTCTATTTTTAGAAAAAACATCTTGGAAATTACTCAAGTATTTAGAAATAGGAAGACTTATTAGTGAGGATTTTCATGATATAAATATCATACATGGATCTATGATAAGTGAAAGGATGTTTCGATTTTGCTAACGATATATTAACTATAACTAGAGTCGGAGTGACTCTAGTTCGGACATGAGCCCAAAGCCAATCTAACAATCATATGTTGGATTTGTTGCAGTTTATTTCTGAAAACTTTCCCACGTGGAAAATAAATGAAACAACTATAATCAATTATAGACGCACGTAACTTTAGCGAAAAAGCAAGAGAGTGTTAAGATCAGCGTTGCATCACGCACAGGGTGGCACGTACAGTGGAGACTGTAACTTAATAATACATATTTATATTTTTATAACATCTAAACTTCTACTTGGAAAAGTTGTAACGAGCTAAGCAACTTGTTAATAAATCTTGTAATTTCGCTGGATCTAGCAAAAGTATTAGCAATTTTAATTCGTTCAAGATCAGCAAGAATCATTTTTTCCCTATTATTAAAGTGAATAAAAACGAATTTACGAGAAGGAAAATTGAGAGGTGTAAGAATTTTAAGAGGTTAAAAGAATTTCGCTCAATGATACCGATTGCTTTTCACAAAGGATGGAGGGAAGGAAATATGTTTATGGAGAAAAGAGCAATGTCATCATATATCTTACACTAATTACACAAACCTAACCTAACCTAACCTAACATATTCGATAAAATATTCGTTAGCATTGTTACCACTAACATCATAACTCGCTATTCTTTTTTCTCGTTGTAATTGTATTTATCGAGCTACCTTCGCACATAAAGTTTCATTGGAAGAAGAACGATATCGAGATTCATCGTAGAAGAAATACTTGGTGCATAAGCATCCTTGTTATCAGAAACGATCACGGTAAGATCAAGTTAGGTAGCGAATAACACTAGCAAATGAGAAAAGAAAGGAAATATAAAGAAGAGAATGGAATTGAGAAGGCGGAAGAGAATAAAGCAATATAAATCGCAGCAAAAATAAGACGCGTCTCTACGACCTGTGTTATGAGGTAACTCTATCAATTTTCCACCGGTGTATCATATTGTAGTTACACGTTGTATATAAGTACGTACTTACGGTGGCCCAAATGCAACTATTACTGCAACCATTTTTTCATTATTCCCGGTTACAATAATCTCTTTTTTCTCCAAGTCTCGCTGTTAATGAATTTCCTCTTACCGATTATTTTTAAATTTATCAACAAAGTAGTTAACAAGGGTCTTTCTCGTTAGAAAAAGTCATTCTATGTATGGAAAAAAGTTGTTGGAAATGTCGATATGTTATAAAAATAACACATGTAAATGTTGAAAAGATAATTTCAGTTATATAGGAAAATCAATCTAGGATATAACGTGTGAATAAATAGTTCATAAGACCTAAATTTCAAGAGAATAAATGTTTGAAATGTTTATATAAACGTTAGATAAGGATTGGGGGTTTAGGCGAACTGCGCCCTGTACCCTCCCGCCACTCTCTCGCCACGAGTCGGTAAGTCGCTCTAGAGAAATACTGAAAAATAGATATATGTAGATTCTGTAATACCTGCTAGTTTTTAATACAATGCAAACTCAAATACTTGGATCGGAATTGAAAAGATATGAGAAAAATATTTTATCGAGTGAAACGAAAGAGAGTGTCGACAAAATCGTGGTTAGCACCATCGATCGAGTAATAAATCTTTGTGAAAAAAAGTAAGATCAAAAGGAAAGATAACATTTTTCCATTTAATTATAAATATCGACCTGTCGGACTTGTCTTTTTCATAACGTTTACTCGAAACATTTCTTTCTATTTATCCAATACGTAAATATCGTTTATTTCAAAAGTTATAGGTAATCGAGTATGAAGCACATCGATTTACAGTTTACACGAATTGTGTCAAGTTTTCAAATATTATCCTGCTATCTTAATTAAACTATTTTAACAACATTCGTTCTATTTACAATTGTGGGCAACTTTCACCGATACCGCTCGCTCGTCTTCCGGCGGGAGAAAGCGCTTCCTTGGATTTCTAGGAAGACATAACCGAGGTTCAAGGACAATGGATACATATGAGGATGCTCAGATACCATTCTCGACCGTCAGGATCGAAGTTGGACCGAAAAGGACATAATAAAATACCTAGTTACCGTACCAAACGTTGTCTGATGTAATCTCTTACGCGATATCTGCCACCATAGTGACAACTGTATACGCAGCGAGCTATTTCTATCTACTATATAGTCTTCTAATTAATTGCGATTAATTGTGCGTATTATAATTTACAACGCGTTGTTTCGAAATAGCATTAACGAAACACACGGAACGCAAACATGAATTTATGAAATATAAATCAAGAAAAACAGGTTGATAGAAATCTTTTGAGAGGATTTTTCTTAATAGAAGAAAAAAAAAAGTCATATAAATAATTTTGACTCAACGAAAGATTCCAGTCTGAGATTAGATAAGATAAGATAAGAAAAATGGCACGTATTTGAACGGAATCAAAGTGTTTTTAACTAATTGTAAATCAAAGAAGATTACACCCTGCGGTCTTCGGTATTTTAACATACATCTTTCGAACAAGCCGAAAAGTTGTAAAATAGTAATAAAATAGAAAAATTCGTTTTCGAACGATAGCACGTCTAGCACTAAATAAAATAAAATACAATAAAAAATTGAGACGAAAAAATCGAATTCTTTGATATTTCAAAGATCAATTTCTGACCAATTTCGTTTAAAAATGAAATTTCTAAAAGTGCAAAATATCGGAGTATATATCGGAGTTTATATCGCGGAAAATTTAAGAGAAGATTCGTTTACATAGGATGGAATAACTTTCGAGATATTTGTCCGATATTTGTCGAAAGATTAGGTTTGTCGAAAAATGCGTTTGAAAGTAGTTGTTCGTAAAAGTCTGTAACTTTGCTAATTTTTCGAATTTTCACATTTTTCGTTATACATTCGTAGCTACTATATTAAATATTCTTTAAATATGGATGAAGCGGAAGATTGATCTTTTTAAGATTTCAGATCAGAACATTTTCTTAACGATAAATATGCGCGATATAATAAATGGAGACAATGAAAATTAGTACGCAGCGAGGAAACGTTAAGAGGAGCTTATTGTTAGACGACGAGAAGTTGGCTGATGTTGGGACACACCGCCAAAGCTTATACGCGTATATAAGGAGAGGCCACTTTTCCTGCAAAAGAATTATATGTATTCCGCTCGGTATTAATCCTTCGTGTACCTGGTAAGAGAAGATATTCCATATCTTATATTCCATATCTTACAATTAGCGGTATCCCTACGGTATCCCTACTACAGCTATCTCTACTTCCTCCCATCTTTTCCTCAAACCGACAAAGCAAAGTCGACAACGAACCTTCTGCCAGACGAATTTTTACTTTTATTTAACGCTAAAAGTAGTCCGAAATAGTAATTTTATCTATTCCTTTCTTTTCATCCTACTATTATACTTAAATTATCGTTATTTAACAATGTATATTCCGCTACATATGGCAATCTAGTGCTAATAAACTTTAATTAAATAAATGAAACTGCGTTAGGATAAGCATGAAAGACTTACTAGTATTATTTTTGCCTGAAATGTACATTTCATTCAATGTTTTATTTCGTTGTTAATTATTTTGTAAAAGTTATTTTCTAGGTTCACTAGAAATTCGATATGAAATAACGTAGATTCTGCAAAGGATATGTTATCGTTAAAGGCGCAATTAGGATGTTTTCGATTAAGCAATAATAAAAAGAAATAATAAAAGCGTTTGTAAGCTTGTACGTATGCGTTGCGTTATTCTGTGAAAATCGTTGGTACGAAATTCTAATCAAGTTTAACGATATATTCGAGAAATATTTTCTACTTCGAACGAACGTTGCGTAAGAAGAAATGTGGAGGAAAAGTGATCTCGTACCGAGAAACTAAAGCAAATTATAAGTTAATCCTTGTTGAAGGAAAACGCGGGAAGCGAAATTTTGTAATGTTACCTTAGGTTTATGTTGCTTAGGTCCTCTGTATCGAAGACCAGCGTTCCTCCCGTACGTGTTGTAGGCCGCGACTCTGGAAATTCGAAAGCTAGGGGGAAACTTGGCCGGATCATGTTCTCTTCCGGTTCCAGGCGTCGAACTGCTACTAACCAGACCTGATCTGTTCCGTATACTCGGCAGAGGAGACATCCTGAGATCTTGAAGCTCTATTATGTCCGCCTCCGTTGAACCAGGAAAAGGAGAACTTGCTTTGCTTCCTATGAGATTATAGTTTTTTTCGTCAATTTTTCATTTTCATTCTTCGTTCTCCATGCAACGTTAAAAGATACAGACATTTTCTTTTTCTTTTTATTCCTCGAAACTTGGGTTAAGCAGTTTTGGATCGTTCTAGATCGGTCTCTGTGTTCGAACAATATCGATTTGAATCTTTCTCGAAACGATTTATCTTTCTGCCGGATTTTCTAAACGAAATTTCCTTTCTTTCGAATCAATATTTGCGTGATTGCAGTCTGCGAGATAATTACAACCTTTTGATAAATATTTCGATACAACGTGTTACATTTTTCATAATTATAAATCGAAACGAAATCATCCTACATCACATATCGTTTTCATAATATATTCCGTTCGAGCTACCTGACCTAAAGGCCAAAGGAAGAAAAGAACTCGAGTAAACTTAAAATTACCCATGATTCGTGGCTCTGAAGTTTGAAATTTCATTTGAATCCTGCACATTTCGCACTTTATCCGGGTAAAACACGTTTTAACCGATATTGCTCGAGTAAAGATGGGTTTACGAGTTCTCATAATTTCTCATAATTTCTCATAATTTCAAGTTTTCACTAGAAGATTTTAAGTATATCCAGTAAAGCTCTTCTAGCTTTATCCGTAACACGACGGTATGCGATTTACGAACAAACGCTTTGTTACAGTGAGGTTAGATTTCATTTATCCGACGCGAGTAGTTACGTGTTTTCTTTATACGGAGAAGTGGCGCATTCATTGACATTCCGTGAAATACTCCGACACTTTGTAGCGTAATTAACTCGATTGTTTATCGATAGCGAAATTGCATCCGAGCAGAAGGATATGATTTTCAAAAGGGAATTTCAAACTTTAACTAATTTCCAAGTGTCGAGTTATTTTTCATCGTACTAATCGTTTTTAAGACACGCAACCGTTTGTTAAGAAATCATAAAAAGCGTGTAACTACGTAGAATGGATAAACGTTTACGACACCGAAACGGAGCGTTTATTCTTCTTTTCGCTTCTAGATCGAGTTTCTAGACAAATCAAAAATTTAATAACAAAAGTATAATAATAATAATAATAATAATAATAATAATAATAATAATAATAATAATAATAAATAATAACATAGAATCACACAGTCTCTACTAGGCTGGAGAGTACTTTGACTCTAAATTTCTGCAGACTAGGGACTAGAACTAGCTCAGTCTCAACTCTAACTCTCGAACTCTTGAAAACAACAACTCTTACTAAACTCTTATTAAACTCTCTCTCTCTCTCTCTCTCTCTCTAAAGAATCTTAGAAAAAACTGCTACTGAACTGCCTCTCTCTTCCAGAACGGGTCCTTTTAAGTCCGTCCGAAAGACAAGGGCCTCTCAAGGGCCAGTGGAAGGAGGAGAAAACTCCCTCCACGCTAAGCTCAGGGGTGGAGGAGACTCCTCCTTCCGGGTTATCACCCTCGCGGAGACCTTTCCCGAGAAGTGACCGCGGACACGTCACCTTCGGTTTACGACGGGGAAAGCCGGGGTTGCGCGAGACCACCTCACGTGGCCAAGCCCCAACCTCCTACGACCCATCTGGCAGCCAGACCCTAATGGGTCTTCTAAACCTGGCAAAGTGTTCCTGTAGGGACTGTAGGACTATCGCACCCTAATAATGCCTAAAAATATCCTACAATAAAAAATAACAATTCCTATCAAAATGGTTACGAACCTCACTCACACCCACGACTGTCTGTAGCTTGTAGTTGTGGTTATTTAACATGAAGTAAGGTAAAATGAAAAAAAAAATTGTTTGTCACATACTATCGATTTACATTCTCTAAATTTTTTCTCTATTTTTCTACGCATAGCGTACTTTTACCCATAGCGTGTTTCTACGTCTGAAACAGGTTAAGATAAATTTATTTTACTTTTAGTTCATTTGGTTATTTTATTTGGTTTTAAATCAAGCGATAAGTAGATAAAGCTGTCGTCTAAATTTGAATAGTATTTAATAACATATAACAATAACGCTAACAATATGCATCATGGAGGGGGAAGTCGGACAAGATGGACTCTTATTTATAATTCGTCGTTACGTTGCCATTTTGCCCTCTATCGAAAAGATAGAAAATATAAGAAGAACACCCCGATAAATTATGCGTTTAGTGGTCAGTTTTCTTTTTCCAACGATTATCATCTTATTTTTTGTCATTTTTCGAATATCGATAGATTAGTAACGCTTTGCGATCCTATTAATTCTCGAATGTTATCGCTCAAGTATTCCCTAAAATATTTATATTTACACGTTTACGAACGTTCTTTATAAACAAATAAGGGTATCTGCATTTAATTGGTTTCGTTGTAGCATTTGGGACAAGATGGGAATATTTTAGAAACGTTAATTTTTAAATAAGATGCTTCGAACGTATAAGAAAAAGACAGATGGACAAATGTTGAACCGAAGAATTTCAATGGATGTCTGAAAAGTTGTAAAGAAAAATTATTACATTATATCGATAAAATCCTCGATAAACTCTGAGGAATAGATCGGCGCTTCTACAAATACATCAGTATTTTCACTTATTTTCACAAATATGTATTAATTTATTAATTTTAAATATTATATTATAATATAAATATTATATAAATAATATATAAATATTCGTATAGTATGTGCGAAGGTTCGGCTTACGTTGAGCTTGATACGTGTAAATTTGCAACTATACATACATACATACATACATACAGGATATATGACTATTTGAAGTTTCGATCGCATAGTGTTCCGTGTACAGGCAAAATAGGATAACGCTGCTAGCATTAACATTTTTTATTCATTTTAATTTCCAAATATGTTAATATATTTCGATAAACAGACATTTACGCTATATTTAGTACTTTTTACAGATATAGGTTGCCGGCAATTGTAGCGTTTTGAAGTGATTTTCTTTAAACGTTCCCATCTTGTCTCAGCTTCGCTAATATGTATAAAAATGTGTACGATAATTATCGGTATTGATCCGTATTATATGATACAATACGATATAATAATATTATTTGCAGTATTCTCTTAAAGATAGCAAAGAATCGATCGATCGATAGCAAAGAATAATATTTTTAATAGTTCAATTAGTCAAAGTAATCGTTAAACTCTCTTGGAATACATATACATATGTATGTGGGATGCCGAGCAGTGAAGCAGTGACACTAACAAAGGAAATAGTATTAAGAGTGGTAGCGGGGCAAACTGGTGTGCGGTCTTACTTCTAAGGGAATGCATGGGAATATATGAGAATCGAGGAATAATAAACAGCGGCATCGGGTTCGACTCGGGCGTTTAGGCCGATATTTAGGGTGCGGGCAAAAGAACAAACGATAGCGCGAAAGAATCCTTTTCACGGGATATCTATCACTGACCATCGAGTGATTGAGAAAGAAAGCCTGTGTATGAAAAGAGAGAGTTTTGGTTTAGGATAAGGGTTGGATGCAAGGGCGCGGCAAGGCAGAGAAGGCAGAGAAGGCAGAAAGTGTGTAAGTAGTCGAGACGCAGTGAATAGAGGATCGTGTATTTCAGAGTTAGAATTGAGATGAACTTGGTGTAATATTTTAGTTAAACAAACCTGTTTTGTTATTAAAAGTGAGTTGTTGTTTATTAAACGCGCAAATCTCAGTCTGCACAAGATTAATTTAGCAAAAAATCCTACATACATACGTGTATATATATATATATATAGACATTTAATTGCGGGTTAGGTTTGAGCTAAGTTGTAATGCGTTATATTTCTTGCCATTTTTTCTCACATTTATCGCTAAACTTCGTATCCAATAATTCATAATTTATTAAACGGAATTTTTATCTGGTATCACAAAATCGATCATCGAGGTACTTACGGTAACTCGTATTAATCGAGTAATACAGTTTTACGAGAGATTGTTGCTCTACATATTTGTTTACGATAACGGTATTAAATCCTTTTACAGTCAGTAGAAAATACATTTTTATGTATTTTATCGTATCTTTTAACTTTCTTTCGTATTATTGCATATTACATTAGATACATATAGAAATGAAAAGATTCGAAACCAACACTAATCACAGCGATGAATTAATTTTTATCCACAGAACGAGATTTAGTTAAAAGTCTTTTTAATTTAGACATATCAGACAGTCATATTTAAGTTTTATCGGGGTAATGATCTTAAATAGAAATCAAGAATTACGGAAGAATTCTAGACGAAGGACAGACTGCGTCAGGAGCGTGTAAGTACTCAACTCAACACTGTTTAATCCGATGTAATTCTTGTGCATCAGACATAGGAGAAGAGTGGAGGAAAAATGAAATTGGAGGGACAGCTGTAGGTAAAGAAAACTTTCATATGCCAGCTTATGCAGTAACAAGAAACAGGATATGAAAATATCAACGAAGTGACTGGAGAAAGGAAAAATACTTGGGCAAGAGGAAGATGGAACTTGACGTAAGCAAATCCAAGTTAACGATATTCAAAAAAGAAGGATCAAATAGAATGAAGAATCTGGAACGAAAGCGGCAGGGTAAAGAGATTAAGGAGCGATGAAGGAGCTTGCATAGCTGGAATTTAAAAGTGAAGTTTACAGGAAAATGGCGGAGTGACAAAGTATAGAAAAGAGCGAGTGAAAAAGGGGTCAATGTAATTACGAGATAAATATGGCAAATATTGGGTGAAAGGAAAAGGGACGAGTTCATTAGAGGATCGTATATGTTCGATAATTTGCAGTTCAATTTTATGGCTCGTGTTAATGTTATATGCTGGTGAAATTTTTGGGTGCAAGGTCCGGAATAGTTTAGAGGAAGAACAGGCAAAATACATAAAATGGTATTTAGTCTTAGAAAATGATTATTACCAAATTATTACCAAATTATTACCAAATTATTACCAAATTATTACCAAATTATATAGCTCTGGAGAATATGAAAAGCGACAGGATAGCAAATAGGGCCAGAATTAGGGCCAGATTAAAATTTGTAGCAGGGATAAAGAAGTCGAGTGGGAAAGTATTAGACAAGGAGTGTTTAAAAAGAATAAAGAACGCCGGATTTATGTGAAATTTTATCAAAGATACGGTGTGAGTCGATTACAAATGGCAATATTAGGAAAGAGGGGTAGCGATATCGCAAATTTATACTAAGGAAATAAATATACAACTACGAGATTAGACAGGACATCATAAAATCAGAGAATTCTGTAATAAAATAAAACAGAAATTATAAATATATTGTCACGTTAAATCGTACAAAGTACTTAAATAAAGCACGGGTGGTAATAGCCAGAATTTCGAAAGGCGTAACAGATATTGGCTGGAGAAAAAGCAGAAAAGGTGTATTTCGTGTAATAGAACCTCCGTGTGTCTGTTGTGTAATACATTGAAACGTATCGTGATATGATAGATAAAGGGGAAATTACGCTGGAAAAAAGTGTCGAAGGATAGGGTATGCGATAGAGTAGAAAATTGATTGAGGAATGTAGACAGGAAAATAAGAACGATCTTAATTAGAAACGACCTTAAAACCAAATGTAAATCAAGCTCGTCTCCTGGCTTCTAATTCTGAAATTAATAACACACACACGCACGCACACGCGCGCGCACACACACACACACACGCAGAGAAAAGATAGAAAAGTATCGATATAAGAAGAAATATAAACTGAGATTGAAACTTAGGAATATTTAAGAAATATTATATTTATTGGAATAAGTCGTAAAAATTTAAAGGACCTCATATAATGGAAGACTGATACAACGAAAGGCTGGTGAAACGAAATTTGCATAACTTACGCGCTATTCCAACATTTCTATGAATATTTAGTTGTTGCAAATATATCTTGCAAAAACATTGCACCTTAAGTAAATAAAATCTATCTTTCTATCAAGTATGAAAAATCGATTCGACGAGATAATAGCTTAATACCGAGATTTTCAAGCGATTCAAGCCCTGTAACTAGAAAGTAGTATAAGATTGGACGTTAGAAAACATTTTCTTCCTTTCGTCCTTTTCATCGTTCCTTATCGCGCTATCTTTGAGATTTTTTTAGTAGATTACGTATAATTTATACATTCGTATAATTAGATTCAGCCGAGATAAAGTTTCGTGTGGAGATTAAACCGATAAAAAGTTACTGTATCGAAAAGCAACGGAGATGGATTTTTCTCGTTAGACATTTATACAGGTTGAAATGAAATCAGGCTTACCAGATTTTGAAGTAATCACTTTTTTCTCATCAGTTTCTTTCTTTTTCGTCTTCTTTTTGGCCCTGGCACCCCAATAAGTGTAATTAACCGCTGCGTACTCTAGCAAAGCGGCGAACACGAAAACGAAACACATTACTAAGTAAATGTCAATAGCCTTTACGTAGCTGATACGTGGCAGTGAGCTACGTACACCGGTCGAAATCGTGGTCATGGTGAGCACTGTCGTTATACCTGTGGCAGAAGAGATAATTCCACAATTACTCCTTACTCCTTAAGATTCGTTTACAAATGATTGCAAAGTAAAAAATAAAAAAAGATTTACAACAAATTGCAACATATATCTATCATTTTTAAGGTATTTATTTTCTTTATAGCGTTTATCTTGTATTTGTCATATTTTCAAATACATATAGTAACAGAAAATATATTATATTGCTATTATCGTTATATTACTCTTATGTACATTTATGCAATTAATATTAGCAATTAATATTACTGTTTAAAAGTATTATATATTTTATTAAATTTTAAATAATAAAAAATAATCGAAATAATCGTATCGAAATAACTACTCGCTCGAGATATGGGTATTAAAATATTTCAATAATATATTCGAATAATATATTAGTAATATTTTAATAAATTTGGTGGGCATCGCGATACGATAGAAAAATGATCTTAATAATTTAAACGAAAAAAGAAGAAAATTATATAAAAGGAAAGGATTAAAATTCGTATGTGTTGCGCCGAGAGAGTAGGTTTTCGTTTATAAAGCAACTTTTAGAAAACACGCGTGTTTATGCTCTATCGTGTCGTTTTATTTTAAATACTTTCTTTCATTCCAGCATATACAAGTATAGTTATACGTTATTTTCTTTACAATTGCATCCTGTTCCCAATGTTTTTCTTCCCAATGCTTGCTCGAATTAATATATAAGATTATTTCTGTACACTATATGTGTATAAGAATGTTGTATATATGCGACTCTCTCGACAACACTGGTATTAGTTGAATCGATGTTAAAATCGATGAAATATCGTAATAATTATCCACTCTTTTCGAATATACGATGAGTTTAGATTAAAATGTAAATAAAAATACGAATTAACGGAGAAAATTATTTGAATCGAAACGACGAACGCAACGCGACAAAGAACAATGTTTTCGACAGCTCGAGTTTCAAAAGTGTTTCAGAATTGTCAACACTTTGCTCGATATCTCGTTGTAGTTTCGATGCATATGTAGTTTCATATCCAGATCACGTTGAACAATCAAAATTACGTTTATTTGCAAACGAATGAAATGTGCAAAATTGAAATAATTGCCAACCACGATAATATGTGAATATTATTTTAAAATCTACCACTAACTAATGCTAATGATCAATGAATTTTCTTTACGATTTTAATTGGAAAAAAATATTTCTTTCTCGTTTCTAATAAGATTCAAAGTGGCGATGATATGTAATACGTTTGAATGTGCCTGTACAGAATTATTTTCTATACGTGTCAGGAAGTAAAATAATTATTAAAAAATTTTACACACAATATCACGATATATACGAATAGATACTTAAATTTATCTTTTTATTAACGGTTGCAGAAAATTAGCGAAAGTAGAAGATGTTATCCAATAATATTTGCCTTTGCAAGGAAAGTAATTTTCTTTTTTAACTAATCATTTCTTTCAACCTACAATTGTCCCTCGAGAAAATCCAAAATCGTTGATCGAATGTTATATCGTATAATATTCTATTAGAGTCGAATATAATACGTATTGTAAAATACGTATTGTAAAATAATAGAAAACGAGAGTGTCATGTGTTTGTTGGTATTTAAGAAAACGTTATATAGTAAGGTAAGATAGTAAGAAGCAGGTTGTTTGAAAAGTGTTGGTTTAAAGTTTAAAAATGATGGAAGAATTGTCGACACAGAATATGCCCTTTCTTCGAAATTCTGTGATGTAGAGAAATTTCGATTTGTCGTTGATCGAATTATAAGCGATTCAAATTCGAGCTAGTTGAAATAAGATGAAAATATCGTAACTATAGAGCAGCAAGACTTAAAGAAATAGGAAAAAGCCGCGTGTAAATGCTTTGAGATTGCATATTTTAGCAATTTCAAGTGACAACTTGACTGTACTTTTCTCTAGAATAATTTTTGTTCGTATCTTGAAGAAAATTGGAAACACATTTAAAGTTTTCTATGTCATGCTATTGCATTATTACGTTATTACGTGTGTATATATCTATTTGACTGGAGCGACATAGCGAGGTTGGAAAAGTGGAGAAACGCAAAAGTATATAAATGTTTAAATTTCCGAAACCATAGCCAGTCGAATGATCGTTTCTAAATATTTTATTAAATATTCTGCATTCGATGTTTCCGGCTGTCGATATTTAACTTTGCGACTTTTCTGTCTCTTTTTCTCTTCTTCTCTTCTTCTCTTCTTCTCTTCTTCTCTTCTTCTCTTCTTCTCTTCTTTCTCTTCTTGTTCCGTTTCTACCGAGTCTCATACATATATAGCTGTTACCACACTTATACTTACCACTAGTCGCATTTGATCGATTAACGATACTACGAATGTACTATAGCATTAGCAATCTACTATAAGCTTCTATAACGTATGAAATGAGATATCATACGGGATAATACGAGATAATAAAGCCACGAAACTCTAAGTTTGCGAGCAAATTGAAATACGGAGTCTATGATATATATAGCCTGTATAATATGCAAGGAACAGGAACGAAATATCTAGTATTCCGGCATTACTTGTCAAGTATGTATACGGAATTATCCGACCCGGATGTTTATATACTAATTAGTATACTATACTAGTATAAAATTCAAATGCAAAATATTAAATTCTCTTATATATAAAAATAAAAAGTTATATATAAAAATCAATTGCAAATATAATAATGTAAGTATAATTATAATGATAAGTAATAATAATATATAATAATAAGAATATAAATATAACTGTAAAAGATATAACTTTTATTTCTGATCATTTGACCGATAGATTCGATAGATTCGATAGATTCGATAGAATAAATGGTTATATATAAGTTACATATTTATATATTACAATTAGTTCAGTGTGGAGTTACTTGGAAGAGAATAAGAAAAATTTGTCATTGGAAAATTTGTGTTTCGGGGAAAGAAAGGAAATAAATGCGATATTCGATATTCAGTAAAAGAAAACACAACTAGAATTGAGCGGTAGTTAATGAACGTAATTAAAATTCATATCGGTGGAAGCAACTATAGAATGATTGTCTCGTTAAGAGAATCCAAAAGACTTTTGACGTTGGCGAAACGTCGTTGTAATAAATTATTAATGCCGGATAGGAACTATTGCTTTTGGGGCCTTTAACGAGAGGTTCACTTATCGTTAATCCTTTGCACTCGAATACCTGAAATATGGAAATAAAGTTATTCCACGCGTTAATTTATAATATATAATTTATAATTGACGATTTGGTTAATTTATATTAGAAGAAGTTATCCGTAAAGAATTTTTAGCCAAATCTCATGGAATTATATAGAGTTATGTTATTTTATAATCGCATCGAGTGCAAAGGATCAGAATCACTCTGTATATGTACATATGTGATTGATAAAATAATTGAAAATCATTACCGAGAGCTACTCTGGCGCTGGTCGCTTCGTGATTTATCCAAAAACTGACCCAACTTAACATCACGATCAAGATGCTAGGCAAATAAGTCTGGAAAACGAAGTATCCGATGTTTCTTTGAAGTTTGAAGCTCAATGATAATCTCTGATATATACCAGTGGCTAGCTTCTCTTTACGATCGTTCGTTTCGTAACCGATTATCGTGAATTGTGGCAGTTCAGCTTCTTCCACGCCACGTACCGGAGTCTCTTTCCAATACATTACCACGTCCAACACCGTATATCCGTCTAACAAAACATACCTCTAGTTTATAATATATACTCCTTTCATTTAAATACTTGGATTGTAGAAATTTGGATGTATTCGTAGCTTTATAAGGTTGAATATTTCCGAATTTCTAGAATTCCTAAATTTTCTACAAAATTTCCATCTTATAATAATAATTTCATCCCCTTTATCGCTAAATAGTATACAAGTTGTTGAAAAATAATCATCCAACACTTTAATGGCTTGTAGTAGCATTCGCTGAAAGGAGTGAAAAGCGCTTAATCAACATACAGCTTAAAATCCATTTATTTCGGAGTAAAATGTAAATCGTGTCTTGAAATGCAACAGCCTTTTCTGTTAAGACAAAATGTCCCGAAACATGCTCTTCGTCTTTCTTCAATTTCGATACAACATTCACACTTTCGCCTATTTATTTTGTACGCGTTTTCCATTCGTTCTCGTAATCCAACTGGACTGTCTCTCATGGATAATCCAATGAAATTAATAATTCAACTCAAGCTCATTAAGTACGTCTATAAGGAGATTCGAAATATCATTTTACACCGAAAATATTGTCTTTGAAACCTATATCGATTAAGCATTTTTTATTTAGGGGAAAGTAGGGTAAAATCTTCTACGACTATTCTTTTCGGATAAAAGCTACGACATACATATGCATATTCTGAATGCATAGCAGCGGATTATCGATGCTCCAGTGACACAATCACGATCATCCAATGACACGATCAGAGAATGTGCTAGTTTAGAAAATGTATATAATATAAATATAAAATATAAAATATGAAGTTTACAGTGTAAAATAAAATAAAATAAATTTCCTTGATTTTTTATCCGACATAAAAACATAAATATGTAACGTTCGGCGAAGTAAAGTATTTCAATATAGGGGCAGACCAGGTTTCTCAGACGTGGGAAACCTTTAGACGTGATTTAGATCAATTACAATTTCGATCGTTGAAAAAGAAACGTTAAACCAAATGTACAAATATATGGAAATGTATCGACTAATACGCGGATTGAAAGCGCGTGAAAGTGTTAATTAATAAATGGATTAAATAATAAAGAATGAAAAAATAAAAATGATACTTTGTACCGAAGTAAAGTAATCAGCATCGTTCAATCGAAGGTATAAAATATAAATTATATAATACGAGTTGAAATAAATTTGTAAAATATGCTTTTTAAATGATTAACATATAGATTTAAATGATTGGATATGACAAATGAGTAAAATACAATTTCACGGAATTCAACGTTTGTAAAAAAACGTTTGCCAATAAATAATAGTTAATAATGAACGATTAGTAGTTGATAGATATTACAATTTTATAACGTCAGTGAATTTTACATGCTTTCAAACCTGTCCCGAGTGCATTTTCTCTGAAATGAAAATATGAGACATTTTAATTATTTGAAATACTTTATTTCATTTCGTTACTTTCAATACCGTTATTTAAAGATACAATTATCGATTAATTTGAAATTAATTGAAATTAAACGACCTCGAATAACGAGTTGTTTCGTAATTTCTTTATTTCAAATCGGACAAAAGAAATAATCTTTGTGAATAATACCGAATGGAAAGATATTTTTCGAAATCTTTACAATTTCAGATACCGAATCATATCCTGCACAATTTCCAAAACGGAAATTACGATATCGTAATAAGTAAACTAAGAAAAGTCTCGATAATAATAAATATTGATAATTTGATATAATTTCGGAGATTTCGAACAATTTCGCAGTTATCTGAAATAATTATTTAATAAAGTAAATAATTATAAAATAAAGTAACGTATCATTTTTGAAGGGATGCGAATTGTATTAGCACCCATAGGGGTGATGATTTCAGGAAGTATCCAGGTCTGGCTTTAAGTATGTGTCTCTACTTGAGATACATATTACTAGCTTACTAGCTTGTTAGCCTGCTACGTTAGGTAAAAGCGGATAATGCGATATCGATAATGATATATGTTGTTTTACTTTGATCGAGGAAATTATCAAATAATTTCTTTTTTTTACGGAAGGTTGTCACTTTCTTATCGCGTAAGATTCAATAGAAATTTCTGATCCGACCTAGTCCAGAGTTGTCCTTGCCGTTAAATTTCTTACTAGTAGAAATAATATATCAGATACACCTGCTGGTTCTACCATACTTTTCCCCTAGCTATCTTGCCGAGTACTATGAGCCTTTAAAGATTTAGACACCATTTCTTAATATCCCGTATAACGTGGAAAAGAAATGAACGGAACGGTAAGGTAACATTCAACGATCGATTCTTTGATCGCGATTTAAAGATTTCTCAAAGATCTTTACTCTTTTCGAGTAATTGAAATGGAAAAAGATTCTGAAATTCCGTCTATCAGTCTGATAGACGTGTTGGGTGAACGGAGAGTCTGGCAAAGAGAGACACGAAAGGTGTTGATAGAGAGGGAAAAGAGCTACGAAAAGTAACATCGATCGTACAGCTCTCAATCTCTACGGTGCAGTTCTGCGAATCGAGCGGATAGTAGTGCAGATCCATCATGCAGGCCAGGGTCGTCGTGAATCTCATGCCATAAGTGACAGATCCGTCTCCGGACAACCGAACGAGTTTATTTCGCTCGGTCACGTCGTGTAAGAAACTGCGAACAAAACGAAAACCAACATTTTTCTTTCTCTGTCCTATGCTCTTTCGTAATTTACTCTCTCGAAGAAAGAAAAAAGAAAAACGGGAAAACGGAGAAGATATGAAAAAGCGGTTGAAAGATATGAACGGTAACGGGATATAAAAATTGGCGATTCGAAGATTTCGTTTTAAGAAAATCGACCACGTGGAAAAAGTAAAGAAAGGAGAGAAAAAAGAAATTCTGGAACACTGGAAACAGTGCTGCTTTTGTATTTTGCATCCAGCACCGCTTTACTTTGTTCTTTCTTCCTTCTTCGTCGCAAATTTTGAAACTTTGAAACTTTGATCAAGGCTATGTGGAAATATTAGAAAAGAATTGGAAAAAAAAAGAATGGAAAAAAAATGGAAAAAAATGCCGAGTACTTTGTTAATTGTTATCGACGTATCGATCACTAATTGGTATATCGCGATACCGAATGAACGTGGAATTCTCGAAATTCGATAGGCTATTGACCATTTGAAGTGGTTGAAAATTTGTACAAGTTGTGGAAATTCTTAAGCCTCGATCAGCTCACGATCTGGCAGGTTTATAAAGATCATTCGAAATTCCTTTTTAAGAATAATTTTGATTTTTCGAGAAACTTTCTGCACGTACCTGTTTTTGTCATTAGCGAAAAACGTGTCCGGAACCCAAATTTTTTCCGCGAAATCTCCGCTAAGAGTAAGAACTTCTTCTTCTTGAGAAAATGCCAGTCTTTCGTCTTTCCAATACTGATTTAAATACATCGTTATCGTATAATCCTGCGATAAAAAGAAGAACGTTGCTTCTTCGGTAACTAGGATGATTTTTATAGTAAACGGACTTTGTAAAAGCCGCAGAGTGTCTTTCACGAATTTTATTTTCGACAACTCGAAACTAAACGCGAAAGAACGTTCAAAGTTCTAACCTTGCCAACAATTACGATACATACATACATACATACATACATACATACATACATACATACGTACATACATACATACATACATACATACATACAACGATAATAGAATATAGAAAACTATCAACTAAAAATACCTATTTACCATGTTTACTTCCGAGATTGCATCGAAGCTCGCGATCGTGAGATCCATGCCAACCAATAGGGGTTCTCCTGAGGAAACGAAATACATATAGAAATTTGGAGGGAAAAAGGAAATCATTCGTTTATATGTAGAAGGTGTTCCACCGCGCGCGAACCGTTAAAACGTTACGAATTACGAAACGTTATTATTCGAAATATACCATACGCATACAGATGTACTGGTTGGCGTTTGCCCTAGGTCCGGGTCACAATCGAGTAGTCGATTTTTCGATCGATCTCTACTTTCCTCGAGGCTCTAGTATCGAGCACATGTGCTGCGTTGTAATTTTTAAGTGCATCGATTAAAGTATGTAGCCTACTTAAGCTTTCTCCTCACCGTAAATTAGCTGTCAAGTCAAATCGAATGTTTATCGTATCGTATTACGTAATTATACGTTTTATCAGATCAATATCTTATATTTACTTGAACTTTTTCAAATTCAACAGGGTTAACGCGCAAAAATTTTTCTTTCTTTTACATCGATAGTAATTTATTACCGAGAGGCGAAGGGCGGATGAAAGGCTCTGTTTTACTTTCTTTCCAATTAAATGGACTGTTAACATTTTATCATTCGGATAGCCGATATCTTTTTATGTTATACACGGTTAAGCGGTTATAACGAAAAATGCTCGTCCAAGACGATGGCAAGACGAACGCATAGAACGAAATGCTTTTTATTCAATCTTCAAAGTTGCGTTTCTTTATTTTCAAACGTACCTGTTTATTCCTTTTGTATATCCTATGATTCCTTTTTCATTTCGGATATCTGACACTTGCTTTCTTGCTCCCTGCCCATACAATTGAACCAAGTCCTATTCGTCTATTTTTAAATCTAAACCGATATTTTAATCCGATATTTATGGCAAATTTATTCCTTTTGAAAAATCAATGTACGATTTATTCGTTAAATCGTGATGGAAGGATTATGGACCAATGATACGATTTCCTAATATTCCTAATATTTCATCGCAGGCGTTTAAAAATTAATCCCATCCAGAAGCTTTCAACTATCAATGATTTCTATTCGACCATCTTTTGCTCAGATTTTATTATACGCAGTACAGTATAATAGTAGTAGTAGTAGCAGTAGTAGTAGACCAGCAGCAACCCGATAATTCCTTCCACGCTTGCTTACAATTAGTAGAATTAACGCAATACGAGCAATATGTATGTTTGTCGAATCTTAATCCATTTTAAACTTTCTTTCCTTCCAGACACTCTAAATCTGTATGCTTCGTTTCACATTCTACGTACAAATACTCTATGCTAGCGTTTGATTCGTGCCATTTGTCGATAATTAATGAATAATTGTAACACTCTCCCCAAGTTAAAAAACATATATATATAAAACTGCATAAAATTGTATAAGGCGATGCAGTGCAAATTGAAATTAATACCAATTTAGATATCGATTAAATAATACACAAAATGTTGCTCATTTTGTTTCGTCAAAGCACGCGTTGATACTATATCGATGGCTAAATCGATTGGGCAACGATTCGATTTTATTAAAATCGGCGTTAAACCGATTCTTACTTTACTCGTTCTTAAATGTTCTTTTCAACAGCAAAGTACAAGCTCGTACAGTACATTGCAGGAAAAACGGTGAAAGCGGAAAGTGGAAAGCGGAAGAAATTAGTCGGAGCAGTGATTTCTCACTCTACGTAATATGAAAATACTTGTTTGTCGCAGAAAAATGATCGATATATTATATGAAAATACATAACAATGTTGTAAATTATGGTATCTAACGTTAGTCTTTATCGATGGATGCCAAAATGGCACCGCTGATGCCATTGATTTTTCGGATAGTCTCACAGATAGTCTCACAGTTCATGGCTATAGAAAGTTTAGACGAAACGGTAAAGCGGGAAAAAAATTCACTTCGCCATCGAATTTTCTTCGTTTCAACTCGTTTAATTAAATACCAATGTACTATGGCCAACTTTTCTTTCATATTTCGATTAAAAAATGTCGAAATTTTATAAGCATCTTTCCAAAATATTATTCACGTTGCAATTTCGAAAATTAATATCTTTACGGTTAACCGACCTCACGATCTCGCTATATCGAACCGCTACTTCGAACCGATTATACTTTGTGTATCTTATTGTGTATCCCTGTTTGTCTATACATATATATATATATATATAAAAAATAAATTTTTGTTACGCTTCCACTCGGCTATTTAGAGATAAGGGGTTTAATAGGTAAAATGTTAATGTTTTATAGGTAATGGTAATTCGAAGGATCACGATTCTGAAACTATAATTCTGTTCCGGGGCACCGGTTATTCGATTGAACAGTCTGCGGGATACTTGCTCGGTTATTCCGAGATGCAATATTTCGAAAACACTATTCCATAATTAGTTTAAAACGAAAAATTGCATAACCAAGTAATTGTCAGATCGGTGTAAAAAATAGTAAAAAATAGTTTGTAAAAATGTAAAAAATCACGGAACGCGGAAATTAGGTGTAACTTATTTATCATCTAGTTGTACCGTCTTCCAGATTTTCGTATCTTTCAGATTTTACTCTTTAAAATAATTCTACTCTATAGAATAGAAAAGAAATTCTTTCGCGTCGAATCAAGTCTCTTTAACATTAGGACCATTATAATTAGAACCATGCTTCAAAATTTCAACTGACTTTCAACACACAAGGAACCTGCGAATAAGCTTTTCCTTCGAAATTATAATACAATATTTACATGCATTCTTTAATGCTTTGATATTCTTTAAATTGTATCGAATATAACGCGAATACATATATTATAAACGTACACCGCTACAAAATAAGATACAAAATACGATGCAAAATAAGTTTTTAACGAAGAAATTAGTTGATATTTCTTTTTTAATTCTTTACGTTTAAATTAATATTTCTAATTTGTAATTATTTTATTTATTTTCAAGTTTTATAATTATTTATTTAATCTATCTAATTATAATCGAATTACTTATTTCTAAGTTTTATAAAATCGTATAACCATTTTTTAGCCTTATAATCAAGTTCTTCGAGAATAGCGTTATTTCGATCGACAATAGAGCAATTATTAAGAATAGTGGATAGCTAGATTTTGATAATATAAAATATTCAAATCTTAATAATATTAATAACTATTTTATTCTAGTAGTTTGCGTTCAGTTTGCGTTCAGTTTGCGTTGCGATATATGTATTTCACGATACTTGACGCAATTATAAATTCTTTTATTTCACGTTTCCTCGCAATTTCAAATTATTACCGCGTGAAATTAAATTATTAAGTGAATTAGGAAATCACGAGCCAATTGATAAGAAATTATAATTAGTATTGTTCGATTTAAAATTCTCGTAGTCCGTTTAGATAGAAGCTCGTACATGTCGAAAAGCCAGCGCTGTTGAAATAAAAATTTAACTCGATATCCGCAGTGGTTTTTATCGAAATAAAATCAATAATTAAAGCATATAAATGTATATATAAGATTGTTTTTCTAGGTCGAGTATATCGACACGGATTATGAAGAATGTTTACGATTAGTATCGTTTTAACGAATTAATTCGGATTAGGAATTTTAGCGAATGCTCTTACTTCGTGTTCATACGTTTCGAAATAAACAGATATAACAGATGAGAAATTCTCTTCCTTGTCTAGGATGTAAATATAACGGAATAATCTTACGGATTTCATTAGGGAAAAATATCGCAACATTCTCCATGCGTTCATAATCTTGATAACCTTCGTAAAATTCCTAAATCATTGCACATGTAATGGCACATAGCTGTAATAGAAATATTCACGTGCTCCACTCTGGATAAAATACATCTCGTATCTTTTCGTTAGACAAAGTTGGAGATATGCCGGTAAAAGGATCGCGGTAAAAATCAGATGGCGTAAAATTTTCTTTAGCTTAAACGAATACGGAGATATTAAGGTTATTAATCGTATACTGTATGGTATATGAAAGAAATGTCCTTTATTCCTTCCTTTTATACGCGAGAAACAATGAGAAAGAAATACGGTTGTAAACAGTGAAAGCAAAAGGAAGAAAGAATGGAGAAAGGTAAAGAGGAATGGTGAAAAATTTGTACCAAGGTATTACTCGTCCGTAAATGCGCAGAGGATAATGTTGGCATAAAACGAGGTAGTATTTCTGTCAGGCTTAATCGAGTAAAGGATTAATCGTTTTGTTGTAACTCGTCGAAATGAATGGACGAAAAATCGTTGAACGGAAATATACGTTTTACGCGTGAAAAATACGTTTACGTTGGATAAATTATTAGCGTTTGATGCATTCGCAAATATTCGTAATTAGCGTATTAATTGGATCGTATTAAATAAGGATAGTTCGGTTAATGAATTATATCGCGATTACTTGGCGTACATTTAGGTTTAACCATTTTAAGCGTAGAAATTCAAGATAGACTTACCGCCGAAATTTGGTCTTAATCGAATATCGTAACCATCGAGGATCCGTGACATAGTTTGCGTCACATTTTCTAGTCTGTCAGACACCCCGGTATTCTCGAGACTGGCCCTACAATTTAACAAAGGATTTGGATGAAAATCTGAAAAATTAAGATGGCAAATAAACGAATAAATATACTTACATTTAAAATATAACGGTAACGTATTTCTTTTATCGTAAGATAAAATGTATGGAGCAATTGGAACGAATTCGTCCTTCTTTTCGTTAATAACGTTTCCAGATAACCGATTAACCGTTTTCTCCATGTTTTCGTATTTTTACAAATTTTGCTCGATTAACTTAATATAATAATACATGCTCGTTACTATTCCATTAAAATTCGATTAAAATTCGATTAAAATTCGATTAAAATTCGATTAAAAACGGCTAAAAGAGTTATTATTATTATTATTATTATTATTATTATTATTGAGATCGCTTTCATTCTTTCAAGTATCGTTATAGTTATGCAGCGTAGAATGTGACGAACCAAAGGAATAATATTTAAATCCTCTAGATCCTATCTAGATAAATCTTATAGATCTGCGTCTTTGACAGTAGTAAAATATACTCTCGATAAATTTCTAAACGAGTAATTGAAATTTATAACCTCTTCTGTAAGAAGATGACAATTAAAGTGGCAATTGAAAACCTTTCGGTTATTAAATGCTTTCGCTACTATCGCATAGATATGGTTATTATAAAAATCGACGAAAAGTCGGTTACAGAGTGGGAATTACAGAGTGGGAAATGTCGGTAAGAATGATTAAACAACTAACAATAAGACTACTAATAAGGCTAAGGAATTATTGAAATTGACTAAAAATTCATGAAAACATGCACGTGTATTCCAACGTAGCTTTTCTTCGTTAAAAATTAGCACGATTCGTCAATTTAGTGCATACAATACGCATCGAATAGGAAGTTACGTTTCGGCAGAAATATGTCGGCAAATATCTGGGAAATTCGGAAAATATTAAAGAAAAAGATACTCGGAAGCCGTGCAAATTCATTTCTCTTAGTCTTAATTTCGATAAAAATAATTATTACCAAGCGATCAGGTGAATCATCTGTAGCAGAAGTATAGTCTGCTGCAGCCACATTCTGCGATGCATCCTGCGAAATTACGTCAGCAGGTAGAAGAGGACGTCATCTCGATAGGTCCTTGCACCTCGACATCGAGCTGCCAGATACTGTAATCAGATCCGGCTGGATATTTTATTTAAAATCGAAATTACTCGCAAAATCGCGTGTTTTCTCTGGCAAGATTTAACCGATACGATATAACGGAGGAAAATTTGCGAAAGATATTTCCTTTTTACATTTTCCACGAAATTCATAAGCGTTTATAAGGATTTATAAGGATAATTGGCATAAATAACGGAGATGTTAAACTAGAAGAAGTATTAAAGAAGAAGAAGTCTTTTGCAAGATGTAGTTCACGAATCGTGAAAAGCGAAGGCATCGTTGTATTTGTGCGAGTACTCGACACTCGCGATACTTAGTGGAGAAAAGTCTGTTGGTAGTTTGTTGGTAGGTTAGCGATTCGCGCGAATGAAACGATATCGTTTCCATGTGAACATTTGCATCGAGGCATACCGGTAGATTTTACCGTAAGAAAATCATGATAATTTTCGTCCTTGGTTTCCCTGCAAAATTCTAGTATACCTAACACGAATTCACAAATGGTTAATCTTAAATATTAGCGGGAAGAAGGTACTCGGATAATTGGAATAATCGTTTTAAAGAGTGTACTGGTTGCATCGAGCGGGTGGAACGACGTCGACGGAAAGGCCGTGGACAGGATCGGCGGACATTGCGAAGGAGAACTTGTCACCAGGAGTCAATGCCTCTCGCTTCTTCCTGGCACTGTCGCCCTTAAAAGGGCACACTTTTTCACCACCACCGTACAGATAGGTTCGTTCACGAGCACTGTCCAACTTGGACGCCGTTGTCGAGGATATTTTCCGACGCTTCGGATGCTGCGCGCCACGCTCGCCTTCTTTCCTTACCCCTTCCTCTAGCCCCTCTTTCGCTCTCGCTCTCTGCTAACCTCCTTTCGGCTTCTCCCTCTCTCCCTCTCGCCCTCTCAACTTTCACTGCCTTCTTTCTTTTCTCCCCTGTTATTTTCTACCCTAGCAAAAATATTTCACTATATCTCTTTCCTCTCGTGCCGCTACTCCGGTTCCCGTGCATCGTTCCCCTACGATTTCCACGGTTTTCCCCTTAGCTGCACCCCGTCCCGCGTTCACCTCTTCCATCCGCGCGTTAATCTTCTTCCCTCCTTTATATCGAATTTGCTCAACCTCTTTTTCATACTTTTCTCCTTGCTCGTCCTTCCTCGTCCTTCCTCGTCCTTCCTCCCATTACCACACTCGTCCCTTCCCCCTCGTCGTCGCACCGTCTCTCTCTTTCTCTCTCTCTCTCTCTCTCTCTCTCTTTTCGTATCGGCGTGAAACACTTGCACTGCTGTTTCTCCCCCAACCGGCTTGCTTATCCCTTTTCTCTCTCACCTATTTATCTTTCGCTTCTTCTCTCGGACGCCGATAACACCAACAGGCTTTGTATCTCTGGCTACTTGGTATTCCTCGGGTCCCGAGGCGGTCCGAAGGTTTGCGCAAAATGAACCACGCATGTGCAGCCCCGTTTCTCCGCGACCTAGTGACACAGACCGATTCTCTCTCTTCCTCCCACCCTCCAGCTCTCCCACCTCTCGCCGCTCGCCGCCCGCCGAACCGTCCTCGCGCTCCACCATTTTCTCTCTTTCTTTCTTCTTTCCTTTCTTCCTTTCTTCCTTTCTTCCTTTCTTCCTTTCCTTTTCTTGCGCTTTTGATTTCGATGTCGGGATCGAAGCAGAGCCACCCTTCAGATGCCTCCGTAAAACATACTCCGGCATCGAGAGTCGTTCACCTTCCAACGGATTGCCGTTGCATCGATCTTTCCCTTCGAATATGTATATAAGTGCTTTTGTCTTTCGAAATATCGAAAGGAGCGATTATTTCCTTTATTCTTGTTCTCCCGTCCTACACTCTGTACAGATGTACTTATTCGTAACGCGATATACGAGCACAGCGGCGAAACCAGGATCCGTGATAACCGTCCATACGTAGAAATCTACCTTCTTCCGCGGAAAATTTACGCAAAAGTGGCAAAAAGTAACGTACTTTCTCACATTGACATTCGAACGGGTTTTACGCTTTTAATTTTAATCCAATCCTCTTTTCCATGGGTTACTTCGCTTTCGTATAAATTCTTTTTTAATATAAAAAGCAGAAAATTGCGAGTTCGTGGACAGTATTCCGTGGACAGTAGATGTATTAATATGCGTTTAACGTACTTTGTGCAAATTTTAGAAACGTATGTATATTTTATCGACTCTTAACGCGATTGTAATTATTTAACGAGTGTCGTAATGATTTAACGTTAATGATATAACGAGATTTCCGTTATAGCGGAAATAACGTAATTATTATTAATCGAGAATAATGGTTGCAGATTGACGCTAGAAGATGACGTTTACGGTATTAACGAAATACTTGCAAAGTGACAGAACGAGTGATAATACGGCTGATGTATATGAAAATCTAGTACCTTTCCAGCTATAATTCAGTTAAGCATGGAATATCGGAGGATGACGATAGAAATAATTTCCGCCTAGACAACGTATACGCGTATAACAATTTCTAACGCCTGTCGTAGCGCAACCCGCTGCTCCTCGGTTGTTACGAATAATCGATAAAGTTGCAAATTTGAAATTACGTATCGTCGAAACTGAAAATACTGCTAGTCCGTTCGTTGATTTAAAGTTTACAATTAATCGATGTTTTAGCCACATTAGCCACATAAGCGATGTGGTACTTTTCTAAATACCACGCTAATAATAATAATATTAATTATAGTAATAATAGTAATAATCGTGATACGATATTTATAACATTTTCAGCCATGTCGACCTGTTTACCTATTGTAAAATATAATACCGAACGTGTCGTAAGATAAAATTGCGATAGAGCTTCACGTATATTATAAGCAATATCGGGTAATAATAAGAAGCAAATTTAGAAAAATATCTTAGGCGGTATTATTCGCTATTCTATAATTTATAAAAATCTCGATATAAAATGCAATGGAATGGACTTTACGCAATTTTTTATTCCAATTTTTCGAAACGCTTGAAACGTCGATGCATGGTGGTTTGCTCGTTGGTAGGTGCACCATCGAATTCGTTTCCATTTCGTAATGGAACACGAGATTCTCTCGTCGAGATCTTGTTTTTTTATCCCAACAGTTGTGAAATATTTTGTTTTTAAAGATATTTGGAATATTCGATGAAAAAAATGTCATTGTCTTTGCGTCATTGAGGTTAGAACGAACGATATAAATGTAAAAAGTATTAACCGCGAATACATCGCGTAATCGATAATATCAAGTAATAATATCCAGGAATTAGATATTTCGTTTGTGTATAACGATGCGAATATATGTTATTTTTATTTAGAGAAAAGTACTCGTAAATGTTGTCAACGATCGAAATTTTTCTATATCTTACCGTCTTATATATTTTGCCACGCTTGAATGAAAGAAAATATTATTATCCACATTTCTTTTATGCAAACTTGAATGTTATATTATTAATATGTTTAATGCGTTATTTATTATCGTGTTATCAAGTACGTCTAAATTGTCCATTAAATAGTTAATACGTAATCTTGTTAAAAGACGTAACGTTGGCAAACATTACACGCGTAATATAATAATAATAAAAAAAGACTATAATAAAAAACAATTTTGTTCAGCTCAGGTGATTCGACGTAAACCTCCCTCTTTGCTTGTATCGTAAAAGAACAAAGGATAGAAATTTTGTCAACCGAATGATTTGGACGAAAGGCAACGAAAGCGAATAAATCTGCGTATCGAACCGATTAACGAAATTTTCTCGTAAATCTGGCTCGTTAAACCAGTTTCGTTTTGCTTCTCGCGTTTGATTTTCTTTCGTCGCGCAGTGTTCGCACAAAGCTTGGTAAATTCGATATATTTGGTCAAACATAACCGAAGGTAAAACGGAAAATAGGGAAAAAGAGTAGAAAGGGAAAATCATAGATAGCATTGTGAATGGTGGAACGTGAAGCACAAAGGAATAAAGAAGAAACGAATATACGATAACAAAGTTCGTTGAACGTCGCAGAAGGCAGGATTGTTGGAGTTTGCGCGGCAGAATGTTCCGTTTCCCAGGTGGGAGATCCACGAGGATCTGTCACAAGAATCGCATGTAGATCTCCCTCGCGTGTGCCGGTATTCGCTCCGAGCCTATTTTATTTAATCCGACTAAGTTTTCGGTTGCCGTTTCGGCGTAATTCGGGACAATTTTCTTGCTGGGAAAAGTGCGAGGCAAAATGTTGGCGTAAGTAAGTTTTTCATTTCGCTTTCCACTGAAAAATCTACCTAACTTTCACTCTAATCGTGGTAACGTTCATTTTCCCTATTTTTACATCGTTAAACACCGACACATTTTCACCCTCGTGATTCGTTATAATTTCGAAATTTTTTCCGAAACGATACAAATATTTTGTCTACGATTACGTATACGATTACGTATACGATTACGTACACACGCTTTAATTGATTTCGTATACGAAATGGGTTTTGTTTATTAGTCGTGTCAAGTTTATTCTCGTTGCAAAAGTGAATCTATAATCGGAATAAAGTTTCGTTAACACGAATATCAGGAACGAAAAAGGAGCATGTTTTATGATTACGCGTAAGTAGAGGGAAAGAAGGAAATGTTGCGAATAAAAGGTAAAATTACGACGAATAACGGTGAAAAGGGTGAAGAGGAAAAATAGTTAATCGACTATTCTCGTTACAAAGGCCTCTCGTGTTATTATCCTCGTCATTTCGATTATTCCATTTCATTGATATTAACGATCAATTCGTATCGTAGTCGAGTAATTATGTAAGGAACGAAATATCCTTCGGAGGATAAGAAGCAGAGACGTATATTAAACGAAGAATTACGCGGAGAATAAATTATGGTAACGAAAGCAGTGGCAAAGATCGGCATTCAAGGTCGATTATTTATCTAGCCC